AGCCAGAAGTTCCTTGGAAGTGAGAATGGCCAGACTTTGTCTGACCTACTTTGGCCATGTTGTCAGAAGGGACCATTCTCTGGAGAAGAATATCATGCTCGGTGAGGTGGAGGGTCAGTGAAAGAGGGGAAGGCTCTCAATGAGATGTACTGACACAGTGGCTACGATGGGCTCAGGTATAGCAGGGATCGTGCAGCTAGCACAGGACCAGGCAGTGTTTCGTTCTGCTGCACACGGGGTCACTATGAGTTGAAGATGATTTGACAGCACCTAACAGTAACAACAACGTGTTCACTTGCCAACTATCTTGTTATCCGACATTTCACATTTACGACAATAGTAAAAAAATCCACCATCCGTCTATTGTGTACACTTACGATGTATGTCTGGCAGCGTACGCTGCAGCGTGAGACGACAGCAGCACTGGCTGGGATGGTTATGTGTCAGCTCCGCCAGACGATGGTTTGAGAGTTAGGTAATGATGTATCTGCAGTTATGACAAAACTTAGTACTGGGAGTGGATGCTGCTCTAACAAATACCTACAACGTGGAAGTGGTTTTGGACTTGAGTCATGGTTGGAGTTCTAAGGTGCTTAATAGTAAAAGCCTAGATGGTCTTCAAGGGACTGTTAGTACAATTATGGACTTCAAAGACAACCCTATCCTGGGAAGGCTCTGAAGGAAGTAAGGAGAGCGATAAAGTCCCTATCATCTTAGAGAATACATATGGTGCCGGCAACAGAACGTTCCTGGAAATGTGGACATTAAATGTGCTTCTGGAGAGGCTTTCAAAGAAAATCATAAATGTGACTGACCAATGGAAGAAAGGTAATTCTTTTAATGCAGTGGAAAATAACCTGTCTGAATTATGATCAAATGTTTCGTGGAAGTTAGAAGCTGTAAGTGATAAACGTGGATATCTAGTGGAGGAGATTTCTAAGCAGATCTCAAAGGCCCCCTTGTAGCTTATAGTAAAATATCAGAGAAAAGAGACTGGCAAAGAGAGATGTCAAGTCACATGAAGATTGCCCCAGAGGAGAAGTTCAAAAGAGACAAGGATCTTCCTTTCAGAGCCAACAGAGAGACAAAGATTTCCCCTTGAGCTGGCACCCTGAATTCAGACATCTAGCTTCCTAAACTGTGAGAAAGTAAATTTCTGTCTGTTGGGCCATTCATCTATGGTGCTTCTGTTATAGCAGCGCTAGGTAACTAAGAACCAGAAAAGGACTGACAACCATGGCAGAATCCTCAATTCTGTGATCTGATGTGCTCATCCTCCATTTTAGAATCACACCAATTTTCACATAATGACCTGGTCTTTGGAACGTAACCATGCTGATAAGTGAGAAGTGAGTATATTTTAAATGCTATTTACTTAATAGACTATTAAGTACATA